AACATTCTGTGGCTTTGCTGTGATCTCCGGTGCAACTGAAAAGAAAAACAAAGTGTTTAAGACAAAATATCACATTTCCCTGAAAAATGCATCCATAAAAGAGGTAATTCCTCACCTTTTACCTGTACCGTAGCTGAAGCATCCAGTGATTCCTGATTGTTACTTGCTCGGCACGTATAAACACCCGCGTCCTCAGCTCTGACTTTCATGATCATCAACGAAGACAAACCCAATTTACGCACCTGAAACAAACTGTTACTCAGTTGACGAAACATCCAGTTCAAAATACTGTTTTTCATCATGAGTGGCCCTCACCAAAAATCAGATCCGTAACCTCTTAGAAACATTTGTAACTAACTGAGAAATGCCATCTACAAATAGCATGATCTAAGCGCTGGCAGTGCTTGGATGCCTTCAGTAAAAGCAGGAACTTCCAGTAGTGAGGTACGAATAGAGCTTCTGACTGCATTGCCCTGTATTACCGATTTCCGCTTTTGCCTTTTCTGTCTTTTCTAACAATACAAGCTGTTTGATTTATTCCAGAACCTCAACTGGGCGAAATCTTATTCACTGCTCGCCGCACCATAGTCCCTTGCCCCTTCCCACCCAAAGGTACAGATACCGATGCAGCAAAAGCCTGGCTCTTTTCATAAATAAAAGTAACTCTAAGTAGCAGCGTTCCTAGTTTTTGGATAGTCCCAGGGTGGAAGAAGACTTTCCCCCACTTCCATCGATCCCCCTGCCCTTCTTCCCATCCTTCGGCACCCTACCTCCTTCCTCAGGAGCCTGTCCTGGATCCACCAAAGCGCTGCACAGATGCCATGTAACGATGGGACGATCTCTGATCAAAGTATGAATTTCTCTCTTTCAATCGCTCAATTCTAGTTCTAATTTCAAAGCTGCGCTACTACGAGAGAATGACGCTGCATTCACCTGCGTGAAGAATTGCATGCTGAAAGTGGTTGCTTCGCGAAAGTAACAAGACTTACCCTATCACCATCAGCTGACACTGTCTCTGAACCTTTCAGCCAACGAACATCTGGTCTTGGCCATCCATTGACCAGGCATTCCAGCACAACCACTTCGCCCTCGTTCACCACATCGCCTCGCGGCTCCAGTACAAAATAAGGCTCCGAAAATTCATTTCCTACTGCAAAATTCATTTTTAAAAAACAACACTAAAATTAGACTGTTTCTCAAAAAATGCTTTACACTCTCTGGCTACGGCTTGTTTGTGCAGCCTTTAAAAAGTCTATAAAAGCAAATGATACAACTTAAACAGCTGAAAAAATTGATACACGTCATCTTCCGCTGGAGAACACCTGAAAATTACCGCTATTCTCGGGGCTTATCTTAAGCTGTGCATCGCGGCTTGTGCGCATCTTGCCATCATTCGTTGCCACACAACGATACGACCCTTCGTGCCTTTTCGCTACATTGCTTATTTCCAGGGTTGACGTCACCGGGAAAACTGTTATCGAATCATCAGGTCCTGCAATTTGCGCACATCCATTATACTTTAAAAAATCCCATTTCTTTTCCATTTGACTAATATCAGTGAAACCAGAAAATACTTTTTATTAATTAGCGCTGTGAGAAATTTGCACGTGCTACAAATTGAATGTTCTAATCAAAAGATAAAAGTGTGAGTAACAGTAAAAATTTAAATTCTAGAATTCTCCCTTTTTTATCAAAATAAAAACAGATCCTATTTCCAAAAAATTAATTCCCCCAAATCACCAAAGCATTGTATCTCCAAGTTTTTTGGCCGACGTTTTTCACGTAATTCCAAATGAATTCAATTGACCCAAAAACTTTTCAAATAAAAATTTGCTTTTCTATGAAGAAACAAAAAAGAGAAAAGATACGCTCGTTTATTCGTTTTCCGTTAAAATACCATTCAATTTGGGCTGATGGTCGCGCATCCTGCAAACGTACATCAGTTATACCAACGATACCAACACAGTTTCTGCCAAAACAATCGATGTGGGTGTCCCTTGCTAGTGATACTAATTAGTGGCATGCTGGACACAGCTATGCCTATATTTTTAGTCGTATGTATCAGAATTTCTGCTTAAAAACAATCATTCAGAACATAGGAGGAGAGGAGGATTATTTTGCTTGAAAATAATAAATTTGTTCCTATTTCGCGCAACCAGTTTTAATAATATAAAATGCTGACCAATAAACAAGCGAAGCCGACACTCTGACCAATGTGAACTTCACGATCCTCTGGCTGCACT